TAAAAGCACTTTCTGAAAAGTTTGTCCAAACACAAATTATTGATCAAAAGTGCTTTTCAGAGTGATTAGCCAAACACAAATTGCTTCTCTCCAAAAGTAATTTTTCAAAAGTACTTTTGAAAAAAGCACTTCTCAAAATAAGTTGATTTATCTAGCTTGGCCAAACAGGCTATAAACCTCGATCAATGGCGTAGCCGCGCTATGCCAAGGTTGGTCAAACGAACACCATTCGCCGAAAAATTATATTGTGTATATTTATCAAATATTACTTTATATGGTTATATATTATATTTGAATACCCTTAATACACGTGAGTGAGGTAATCCAACGGTTCAGGGTATTCAAAGTGAAGCATTGTTCACCGGTTTTAATCTCTCGCTAAATATTTTTATCTTCTCATTTAAACAAAACGGAGACCACCATGTATGGTCTATTTGACTCTTTTTCAATCTAAAAAAGTTCCTAATAAATAACTCTTAAAACTTAATATTTGTGTAAAACACAAATAACTAATCTTAAAAGTTGTATCTTAAACAAATTTTATAATTTAAAAGTCAAACTTTACGGAATTTCTTCAATGAATGTTCTCTACATGCTACGAAGAATTTCTTCAATGAATGTTCTCTATATGCTACGAACCCTATCGATTCTCTCTTTCCTCTGGTGCTATGCTTACTTTTATTAGTTAAATTTCTTTTGTTGTCTTGTTTATTTTAGTTTTGATTTATAAAATCATAGTTCTATTACAAGTATTTTAATTGTTTAGCTAAATGTTATATAGATTTAAAAAAAATTGTTGCACCCATTCACCAAAAATAATTTTATCGACTTCTTTAAAGTTTGAACACTTTTGGCGAAATTTTTAGCTACGCTACTGCAACAACAATAATAAATCTAGTATAATTTCATATAATGAGATCCGAAAAGGATAGAATGTATGCAGACGTTACTACTGACCTCGGACCTCGGACCTCGAATATAAATTAGTCTTAGATGATGCTTGCAACAACTTTTATTTCAATTTTCTTGACCGCCTCGAGTTGTAAAAAAGTACATTTTAGAAGTTTTGGAAAAAATAAAGGAAACAGTTTAGCAAAAAAAAATGAAGAAAAATGAACATGTTGGGAAACAGTCATTTGAGAGTGTCCAGCGAATTTTCAGGGCAGATATAACAATATTTTGTAAAAATTGCATGGGGCGTTCTATTTGGTCGTCTATTTTTAATTTATACCCGTTTTATTTTTTCGTTTGCATCCGTACCCATTTTTTGTTAAAAACATTTTTAAAAAACGATTTTGCCCTTCTTTAATAAAAGACTATTGACAAACTGCAGGACAAAAACTTAATCATGTTTAGGCTAAAGTTTTAGCAAATAAACTAAAAAACTTCAGTTTGTTTAGACTGAAATTTCGGATAAAACTCAGGACAAAACTGTAGATTACGTTACAAAACCACAGAATATTTTGGTATGAAGTTTTAGCATATGAACTAAATAACTTCAGCATGCATTAGCAAAAACTCTTTAGAAAATTACATATTGCAAGATAAAAACTTAGGCATGTTTAGTCTGAAATTTTAACAAATGAACTAAAAAACTTCAATATGTTTAGTCTGAAATTTTAACAAATGAACTAAATAACTTCAGCATGTTTTGTCTGAAGTTTTAGTAAATGAACTAAATAACTTTAGCATGTATTACCAAAAACTCATTAAAAAATTACATACTACAAGACAAAAAGTTAAGCATATTTAGTCTAAAGTTTTAGCAAATGAACTAAAAAACTTAAGCATGTTTAGTGTGAAATTTTAGCAAATGAACTAAATAACTTAAGCATATTTAGTCTGAAGTTTTGGCAAATGAACTAAATAACTTAATTATGTTTAGTCTAAAGTTTTAGCAAATGAACTAAATAACTTAAGCATATTTAGTCTGAAGTTTTGGCAAATGAACTAAATAACTTAATTATGTTTAGTCTAAAGTTTTAGGAAATGAACTAAAATAACTTAAGCATGTTTAGTCTGAAGTTTTAGCAAATAAACTAAATAACTTCAGCATGTCTAGTTTGAAGTTTTAGCAAATTAATTAAATAACTTTAGCATGTTTAGACTGAAGTTTCGGATAAAATTCATGACAAAACTGTAGACTGCAGGATAAATAATTTCAGCATGCATTAGCATGAAGTTTTAGCTTCAATGTGAAATAACTTCATGCTATATTAGCATGAAATTTTAGCTTCAACATGAAATAACTTCATGCTACATTAGCATGAAGTTTTAGCTTCAAGGTGAAACAATTTCATGCCAGTGTGATTCTGAAGATGAATTTGGACAAGTTTTTGATTTTTTTATAAAGTTGCTGAGAGGAGAGGAAGAGATCGTTTTATATCTTTTGTCAGGGGTGTAATTGCCATATTATTACGGATTTTTTGTGAGATGGCTACCAAATCAATAATTTTAAAAAATAAGGTACAGGTTAAAAGGTGACACAAATATAGGGTACGGCTGCAAATCCCTCAATATTTTTGTGTGTGGGGGTGTGGAGCAGGTAAAATGCAAGGTTAGAAGACATGTGTCCTACCTGTGACACGTGTACTCTATTACCTCTTACATTATATCATTCTTTTTTTAATATATCCTTTCAAAGTAAAAAGACCTAAAACAAAGAATAACATCTCCTATATAGTCTTTTTATTTTACATATTTTGAGTTTAGAATTCTTTTTTACGCTCTTTTCATCATGATTTTCTTTTTGAAAACACTCGACGATTTTTTCCTTTATTCTTTTATCTTGAATATTGAGATGTTTATAAAAGAGCAAACTTTATTTGTAGTCATCCGGTAAAAATCAATGACAATAGGTAGCCACAAAATAAACTATACAATTAACAGTCCAAGACTTATTAAAGGGCTAGCCCAAGATCACTGTCACTCTTCCCCCTCTCTATGGCATCCTCCTCCGCTCTCTCCGTCGTTCCTCCGTCGCTGTCAGAATTCAAATCACAATATCCGTTCATCCTCACCCAACACCACAACCAACACCTCCTCAAAACCCTAACTTTCTTCTCCCTCAGCGATCATACGTATTTTCCTCAGCCAAAGAAGCCGCTACAGAACGTTGTCGTCGCAAGCGCCGCCTCCGTATTGAACTATCAATCAATACCCTCTGTCGTGATCCACTCCCGAGGGGACCGCCTTCACCTGACGATCGTCGTCATATCACTTTTTTGTTCTTCTATAATTGAATCTCTGCACATTGTTCTCTCTTTGCTTACATAAACAGTGGGTGTTCCCACAAAATTTCTTCTTCTTCAAGAATACTCCAAATATAGGGGATGTATACTATTCGAAATTAATGTTTATTATTTGGTTAAAAATCAAAATTATTCAGTTAACTAATAAAATATTTGGAAAATTTGCATTATTGATCCCTTAATCTCTCTATCCTCTATTGCAACTCGTGCATATCAAACATGAATATTTTATCAATCTCTTTTTTGGACCAACTTTTTCATAAAAAAATATATATGAGGCTAATATTTAAAAGTCATTTTAGATTATGTATTAGACTGGAGAGCATTTCTTTTGAATATTGGTATATTACAAAATATATATACAAAATAGACTGTCACTATACAAAAATTATACAAAATATTATGTCACTATACAATTTATATACAATAGACTGTCACTATACAAAAATTATATAACATAGACTGTTACTATATAATTTATATACAATAGACTGTCACTATACAAAATATATACAAAAATAGACTGTCATTATACAAAAAAAAATATACTAAATAGATTGTCACTATACAAAATATAAACAAGATAGACTGTCACTATACAAAATATATACAAAAATAGACTGTCATTATACAAAAAAAAATATACTAAATAGATTGTCACTATACAAAATATAAACAAGATAGACTGTCACTATACAAAAATATACAAAATAGGCCGTCACTGTATAATTTATATACTATAGACTATCACTATACAAAATATATTGTCACTATACAAAATATATACTAAATAGACTGTCACTATACAAAAATATATATAAAATATACTGTCACTATACAAAATAGACTGTCACTATACAACAAATATATAAAATAGACTGCAACTATACAAAAAATATACAAAATAGACATTCCGGACTATAAATATAATATGTTTGAGTCGGAGGACCATTTTGTGTCAATGGACAAAAATTTGGGTTATTAAAATTTTGAGGGAATATAGAGGATAATTTTCTCTTTATAAAAATTATTTTTTTTCTACTCTATATACGGAACTGTAAACTTAAGATCTAAGAATATTTCTTTGGCGGGTGGTCTGATATTTTTTTGGGTAATAAGAATAGTTATATTATAATACTAAGAAACTTTTCTTGAAATATTACAAACCATAATACTGCCATAAGGGCATGACCAGTAGTACTAGCTCAAAAGTAAGAATCATAATACCGTTATGACAAGGAATAGTCGAATAGATGTCGTTTGGTTATTTTGGTACCGAATAATAATTTCGAAATAAATTTGGGATAAACTTTATCGTATATTTGATTTGAGTATTAGTTAATTCTGTAATAACTTTTATATTAAAATTGTGGGCTTATTTATCCCAGATAAAATATGGAATGATTAAACCCATAAAATATTTTGAAATATCCCATCGTTGTACCAAACGATCCAACTCTCCTTAACAGTGGTGGAGCCACATTGAATCAAGGGGTGTCGAGCGACACCCCTTCGCTGGAAAATTACACTATATTGTTAGATAATTTTTTTTAATTATGTATATATTTACAATACGTTGATTCACCTTGACTTTTTGATGTATCTAATTATTTATATTTTGACACCTCTTGATGAAAATTTTGGCTTCGCCACTGCTCCTTAATCTTCCACTATGACATTAAATGAAGGCATTGGTGATTTCCAAACTTCCATTAGGTCAACCCCAACACCAAAAAAAGATAAGAAAAGAAAAAACAAAAAATTGAAGGCTTCAATAATATAATAAATTCAATGATACAATAGGCATGAGAAATAATACAACATATATACTCAACATCAAAAAATTAAATACTCCATCCTCTCATAACAAATTTACCTATATCTTTAAATTTATTAATCCCATGGATTTAACCAACATTCCTCAGGCTTTTTAGGAAATCTCTCAGTATCTTGGCAATAATCATAAGTCACAAGATTTCTCTGTACCCAAGCATAATCCATTTTTTGGTCACTTGATAAATGCCAAGAATTATATTGATCCCACCAATTTTTAGTGGTAGTAGAAACACAAGCAGGAAATGGATCTTTCCATTGACAACCATCTACACTAAAATCCTTATAACTTGAAACAAATGGTTGATTTTTCCAATTTGTTTTCTCCAAACCACCTCTTGTAGCCCAATCGTCAGCATTCCATATGCTTGAAAACAAGTACATTGGCTTCTCATTTGGGAAGAAATTATTCGTATAATTCGCATTTTTGTATACCCTTATTGGTACTCTATCCACGAAAAACCTGCATACACATAAGGATTGATATCAATAAAATTCTAATCCTTAACTTGAACAATCAGAATTTTGTACTTCTGTAAGAACTTCTCTATCTAGCCCTAATTATATATATTATAGTGTTATCCAAAGGTAGCAAGTGAATTGACATGCATACACATAAGTATCGATATCAATATTAATTCTAATCCTTAACTTGAACAATCAGAATTTAGTACTTCCGTCAGATCTCCTCTATATTCTAGCCCTAATAAAAGTACATACTATAGCATCGTCCAAAGTCTGCAAGTTGCTGGATTGAATCTAACTCAACAAGCTAATCATTGATAGGTTCACTCAAACCTTTCTATAACAGTTTCGTTTGTTTCGATATTTTTTTTTTGATGTTATAGTGAAGTGTTGTTACAGATGACATATATTATAATATAATATAAAAATCGATTCCGAAAAAAATATAATTTTTATAATGAATAACTGTTATATAGGTATATTGTTATAGAGTGTCTGACGGTACATATTAATTGTGTAAAAATAAATTGTGACAAAAAAGGTGGTCCGATGCATACGAGGGTTAGTTTGATAGAAAGTGAAAGAGGGACTTACACAATTTGGTGGGTGTTCCAAAGAATGGAATAAGTATGAAAGTCCTCGGTGGGGTCAAACCAAAGAATGTGTCTCATCTCACGATTACCAGTCCCATTTTTGTACACATTGGTTTGAATAGTATAAGGTTCCCCTGTTCTATTTCCCAAGAACTCAAAGTCTAATTCATCTCTTGTTGGCCCTGCTCCATCTTCTGTACACATCTACAATCATGTTAAAAAAAACCCAATTAAACCCATTGCTAGATATTCCCACAATATTAAAAGAGTTTAATTTCCATACAAATACAATATACTATAAGACTACATAAACGATAACTATAATCGTCCATAAAAGAGCGCTAGATTAGTAACCTCAAAAATAAAGTATATTACATATTACAACAGGTTAAAAAATGGTTAATATAAACATTCTTTATGTTGGTAGTGCATATGAGTTAGTATATCCATATTAAGTTGTATTGCTAGAGTTCATGATCCATAGAATTTTAAAGTTGCATTTGGCAGTCCATAAAAGGTAAAATTAGTAACTTTGAAAAATAAAGCATGTTACTTGCTACCAATAATAACAAACCCGGTAAATTTCTATAAGTGGAGTCTGGTAAGGCTAATATGTATGCAGTCTTATCCGTACCCTGGAAGGACAGGGAAGTTGTTTCCGATAAACCATCGGCTAAAGAAAAGATAAAAAGAAGTAATTGCAACAAGTAAAAACAACGACATGATAAAAAGAAGTCTGAAGCCAATATAACAACTAAACGATAGGTAATAATAGCAATCTAAGATTAACAAGATATCAAACCAACACTAATGCTATCAAACATATGAAGACAAAAGGAAATGCTTGACTACCGAGGTAAAAAAAATTCTATATAAGTTATATCCATGTTAATTTTTGCATTAGTAGAGTTGACAATCCATGTATAAAAAAGTTCAAAATTCTTGCAACTTACATAGTAAGCTGTGACAACACCGGCAGAGTCACCTCCCACCAATTTCAACTTCATACTAAACCACCCAAATCTATATTTTTGCCTGGTCATAAATCCACATCCTATATATAGAAACTCATCAATATTAGCAAGAACATGAAGATTAAAAGTTAAAATAAATGAAAATGGTATTGAAAAACATTGAATTCTTGGCTTTATAATCACCTGCTTTCTTATCTAATGAAAGATACCAGATCTGTCCATCTTCAGAAGTCTTGAAATGTGTTTCAGGACAACTTTTACTAAAATTGTCATCAAATGAACCTTGTACTTCAGCTTGTGTTAATGTAAAAAGAACAGTAATTAGTGCTATAATTAGAAGGAATTTAGGTATTGAAGAAGACATTCTCTCCATTCTCTTTCTTGAGGAGCTTGAGAAGTGAAAGCTTCTTAAGTTGAAATTTTTGGAGAAGACTACAAATATAATAAAGGCTGTACACTGATCACTTTTGGTCATGTCAAGGGTAGAAATGGAAATGAGAATCTTTCCCATGTTTGTTGCTTTTGGTTTGTTTCTAGTGTTTATACTTCTTTAACCTTATGTAATGGATTAAAGTCTTAGAGATAAATATTCTCTCCTTTTAATAGGCCCTTCAAAACAATAAAGTAAATAAAAGACATTAAAGTTTGTCTCAAAAGTACTGCCCACCTATTTTAGAATAACAGTATTTTCCTTTTGAAGAAAAAGCAAAGGAAAATATCAATTCTTTTGATAATTAATTTCTTCAATTGCTACTTATCTTTGCTGGTTATTATATGGGCAAATATAGAATTTTAAATCAGTGAGTTTAGAACGAATATAATGTTATTGCATGCGTATACTGTAGTTGGAAATATTTTGTAATCATGTTGATACGTTTACCTTAGGTCATATATTTTTTAGGAGTCTTTTAGTTTTATTAGAGATTCTGATGCCAACAGAAAATTTTGAGAACTTCTAGTACTTTTATTTTTATTTTATTTTTTGTATGTTGTTCGATTGAGATGAAGTTAAATGAAAAATATGATCAGGGATGATTTATATCGTATCCTTAACTTCTCTGCTTTGAAACTGTAATTGTTGTTGTATCTATATAGAGTTCGAATAATGATCAGATCATGTTACACATAGTTTTTACCAATTACAAAAGTAAATACATTTTGAAAAGGCAAAAGTAAGTTTAGATTTGAGAGGGCAATTTAGGGAATTGACTCCACAATCACAGACCGACAAGTTGGAGAAAGCAATTTCCAGAAAGACGATGGAGGGGAGAAAGTCGAAAATGCCCATGGACTGATAATAGTGGCAGAAAATGTAAGTGGGGCTAAGATGCTTTCATATGGGAACATGATCACATTTGATTGGTCTTATAATAATACAAACTTGCTGGATTTGACAACTGGATTTTGCTCTTCTGATTGGTCCACTAAAATACACTAATTGGTCTGTTTATTACTTTTCTTTTCTGAAAATAAAATGATGGGTTTCATAGTAGTAAAATTACTGACCATCAAAAATTGTAGCGGGATGGTAAGTATTTCATCTCTAATTAGAGATCGTGTTCGAGCCTTAAAATAAAGTTTGGAGTACTTTATCTTTCAAAGTGAGATTTTCCTGCACCACAAAAACAAGCATCAAACATCGGATGAAAAACTAAAAAAATGTTACGACAATAAAGCCTCTTTCTCAAACTAATTGAAGTCTAACTATATGAATTTTCACAATTTTTTACTTCATTCGAAATTAATTTTTATTCTCTAATATTCATGTTTAGGACTATATAAAGTTATTAGTAATAATCAGACTATTGTATAAAGCAGCACTGAAGAGAAAGAATTACTTGACCCCACAAATCTAATTAAAAAAACAAGGGGAACAACGAGCAGAATGAACCAGTAGCTAAAATTAAGGGGCCAATAAAGATGATTTTTTAAATTAATCATTTGACTTTACTGCTTTGGATCTCCAGGATTACAGAAGAAACTTACTTTAAGTTTTTTTTATCTATTATTTTACCAAAAAACAGAGAAATCGTAATTATGGGTAGAAGAACTGTGAGGTGATTCACGGATTTAGGATTTTTATAATACGAGTGCACCACTAAAGAAAAGAGAAAAAAGAAAGTATTAAGTGGGCATTGATCCGAGCTCCTCTAAGTAAATAACTCAATATTCAACCAAATGCATCATTTAGTCTCTTTGGAGTACGGGTGCCAACAGATAACATTAGATCAATTCTAAAAAATATGTACATAAAATAGCTAGTTTGGCGAAAAGATCATTGATCTACGTGCACCATATATTTGCCTATAAATCCACCTGAGCCTCCATTAGCATGTGCTACCATTAAATGGAAGAATGGAAAAGAATTACATGCGATCCATATTTACATCAAACCAAAAAAATATATAATATATGTACTTTACATATATTTTTCTCATTTAACTATGGTTAAATAATATATGTTCACAGCTCAATTTATTACATTATCATGATAAATAAAAACATATGAATAAATTTTTTGAATTGGTGGACAGTGTAATGAATTATTCTCAGGCAAATGCCCATGTGAGGTCCAACAATAGTACAGCTTTGAGACAGTAAAGCATTGTCTGGGAAAACATATTCACATACTATTCTAAGATGTAAGTCGTAACCAAGAATGACTGGTCTATCCACTTATATATTTTGTTGCCGTAAACTGATTATAAGTTAGTGTTATAACTCAGAAATTAGACAAGTTATGTGAAAGCTGAAATACGTATATGTAACCACTACAAATTTTTAAGCTTATTATTACTTTAATGGTTTGATTTATTACTTTGTTATATGACTTACTTATTCAAAAATGTCGATCGGTATGTCCTGTAAAATCTATTTTGAATGAAAATGGTGTCTTTTTCTTTATATATCCATTTGATAATATCCTTTTGCTCTAAAGAATATCTTAAGTATTAAGTTTTGGCTATATATGTAGACGAAATTTAAATGTAATTAGAAGTTTCGAAATGAACGAGAAAAGTAATAAAAAAGTGACAGACGAGTACACGAAATGAAAAAAACTCAAACAAAGGGAAAATGCTTTTCCGATTCACAACATGCACTAAATTATATTAATTTTTCATAGTTTAGTACTAAATACAAGTAAGAATTTTTATAACTATGTAAAAAACATGTATTATGTACTTATTGCTTTGGATACATGCTTACGGACATAAGTATTTTTCAGAGGTAAAGTGCTAGTAAACTGAGATTATAATTAATTAATCATGTCCAATAATGGACAAATCATGATTCATTTGTAAAACTGTCGGTGGATTAACTGGAGTTCTTGTAGCACTTAGAGTTACACAGTAATCAATTATAAAAACGGCGAAACAACATGACATAAGACAGTTTGGCCGAGTGGTCTAAGGCGCCAGATTTAGGCTCTGGTCCGAAAGGGCGTGGGTTAAAATCCCACAGCTGTCATTTTACCTCATATCGCAGTCCACCTTGTTTTTCTTTTTTCTTTTCTCGTAGCTCAGTAAATACTTCCTCCGGGCCACTTTAAGTGATTTTTTCGCTTTTTCTTTTTTGGTCCACAATATTTGATTTTTTCAGATATCAAGAGAGAATTAACTTCTTCTTTCCAAAGTTACCCTTAGAGTAAAGAGCGTAAGAGTAATTTGTTATATTTTCAATAAGCAAATCAAGGTTAATAATGTCAATTTTATTGTTAATTAATGTTAAAAGATAAATTTTTTAATGTGTGAAAAGAGCCAAAAATTTACTTAACGTGGACCGAAGGGAGTAAAAATTATTCATTCAAGTAAAATCTTCTCCTCATTCCGGTGTCAATATTTTCTAAGTTTCAATATCTACCCAAAATATGAACTTTTTTGCTAATGAGTGCATTTAAGTTAGTTTTGATTGATGAAACTATTCTAATGTTCTTGAACATGCTACGTTTTTTATACCATATCATATGCATGAAGCAAGTGTTCAACCTTTTAGCCTATCAGTTACCTCCTGGCCTGAGGTCAATTGGTTAGTAGTTTCTGAATCAACTACTCCCAAGTCCTAATAATAGATTTACGTGAACATGGCCATTAATTTTGCTTGAAAAAAAAAATAGCATAATTTATAACTGATAATTGAAAAATAGCCACAGTTTTCAAAATAATTAAAATTTAGCCACTTTTTCATGTAAAGATAAAATCTAAAGAAAAACACCCTTAAAAATCCGGAAAAATCCTAGTATAATATGTTGGGGTTTGAATTTTTTATATATGAGGTTCCAGCATAATGTGCTGGAGTTCCAATATAATTGCTGGAAGTTTATATGCAGGAGTTTCATAAACTCGCACATTATGCTGGAATTTTTCGTGTTTCGGCTAAAATAGTGGCTATTTTTTATTGACTTTGCAAATACTGGCTATTTTTTAATTACCAGTCCGAAAACTGACTAGCCCGTGCTATTTTCGCATTTTGCTTCGTCGATGATATTCATTTGGGCTCGTCAGCTTTTCCGTTGTAGAAATGACACTAGGTAGCCACTTTTAAGTATGTTGTTTAAAATATATTAATATTTTATAATATATTTAAAGATTAGCTAATTTCGCTCAAACTTCTGGACATGACGTCCTAGAGTTTAAACCTCAAATTCAAACTTCAGGACATAGTGTTCTAAAGTTCGAAAATTATGTCCTGAAGTTCGAATTCTATGTCCTGAATTTTAAATTAGTAGTTCAAAAATTCAGGACATTTAGTCATGAATTTCCAAATACAGGATACTTAGTCCTGAAGTTTGGGTGAATTGATTAATTTTTAAATATATTGTAAAATGTAAATATATTTTAAATAACGGGATTAAAAGTGGCTATTGCTGCACTTCGCCCCCTTTCCGGTCTCATGCTCAGAATTGGGCTTCTTTGAGGCATGCCTTTGGTGGATAAGTCCAACAACTCAAAAGCAGTGTATAATTGAGTTTTTCATCTCGTGGTTCTGATCTATAAATCAGGCAAACTACTATAGAATAGTTACATCTAGAATCTATAATTTCTCTTTCATTTAGGTGTAGTTTTAGGTTGTGCAGTACGACGCATCAAGATTCAAGTCTTCTGTTTTGAGTTTGCTGTAACGTTTTCAATAAGGGCTTGTATTTTCAAGCCTTATAGGTCTATGACCTTTTATTCAGTTTTATTAGATTGTTTTTTGAGAAAATAACACTGCACGGCCGTCTAAAAAATTTAATAGTCCAAAATTTTGTACTTTATCCGAAATGTCTGGTGGAATAAATTTAATATCAAATCATAGTCATTAGCACAACTATTACCGTCCAAACTAAAATCTCTCATATCTCCATATCCATATAACATCACATACTCCTAAAAAATTTATTATTTAATATACACGTTTTCCAACCTAACTTTATCTCTTT